CGAAAGAAAATAGAAAAAAAAAATCGATTTTCATTGGCCAAAAAAATGAAGCGTTATTTGACAAAAGGAACTTCCTCGAGCGAACGTCGAACCGCGCCGGCCGGCCGCGCGTGCCGCACGTTTAGCCAATTTACGCACATATCCCTGCGCGCAACATATCCCTGCGCGGGGGTGTGTGGAACATCCCCCCCCCCCTCCTCGCCAATAAATGTAGGGCGGGGACGATAATTACTTTGACCCCAATAATATATCCCAGTGCGTTTAGAATTTAGACCAATTTACCTAAATTCCACTGTATTTTTTTCTCAAATAATTTGTGTAGGCATAATAGCTGTAAGATCTTGCTTGTGCACATCCTTTTTACTGAAATTGCGCATAAAAGGCGTAAATACGCATACTGTGTATTTGTGCGTACATATATACATCTTGGAACAGCGCCTATTAATGGTGTCAAGCCCCCCCCCCCCACCTCAAACCTCGACTCCGCTTTTCAAACTTCCAAGCTGCTCCCCCCTCCCCCCGCAACCCCGCACCCCATGACCCATGTTGACAACAAATTGCCGCCGCTAGCTCCCACTGAAATTACTAACAGAACAATATCGCTTTTCATTGATTTAGTTCCTCGTTTGCATGAACATTAATCTTACTTACAGGTCAACACCCATGAAGAACTACTTTACGTGCCTTTGTACGTGCCCTGATTCAAACCAGAAAACTCCACACGCAATTGCGTTATTAATCATGGACATGCATGCATAGCGCCCTCAGGTGGCCATATCGGGTTAATTTGTCACCACATACCTTCTTGGAGCTCCCCCCCCCCTTTTTAAGGACCACACAAAACGCCGATGGTATACATAGGAACTCAAGACAGTAAACTCACACAGGTCCACACAGTGTTTTCCACTTTCTGCAAAAAAAGAACAAAAAGGTGGGGGTTAGGGTTAGCCTATACATGTGGGCAATGTTACCATTAGTTATTTATTTTGAGAAATATGCTTGTTTAAACTTTTATTATTTGCAAGCCTAAGTTCATATGTTTAACCTTGTTTTGTTCTTACTGTTTATTTCAACCCTTAACGCTTGTAAATAGAGGTTTGACACTATGATGGTGACCTAAATGTCATTTATTTCGAAACCTTTCAGATCCTACAATACCTGATTTGAACCCTAAAATGCCCTTTTAAAAAAATGTTGCTAAAATGTCCAGTTGAAACAACATGCACTGTTTCGAATTTTCCAGCTTCCTTATTTTTCTTCTTCTTAACATAATAAAACAAATGTGGCAACGTGTTTATATATCTTTTTAAAAGATCTTATTACAAACGTCACATGAGCAGGAACCAGGAAGTAACGAAATGCCGTGGTTTTAGCTGATTTTCAACATTAACTTCCGCCTTCGTTCAGATCAGACGTACAGAGAACAAATCTCCGATCAGTCGTTTGTTCTCTGATATTTTTGACTTCGTTTGCTTTTTTGGAGAAAGCCCGGACACTGAGTGAGTAGAAATTCAATTTTATTTTATCCCAAGTAGGGTGGGGTGTGGACTCAACAAGGAATCTTTCTTTTCTGTTTAAAAACCACTTCGAATCTGACAATGAAATATGAGAAATGAAGACCTATATGAGCTTGAGCTTAAGATTTTGGATTTTGTTTGGCAATAAGAAACTTCACAAATTCGCGGAGGGAGCGTAACAAACGATGCAAATCTTCATTCAAAACTCTCAAGCCAAACAAAAATTCAACGTACAAAACGATTTTGTTGTACGAGAACGTATTTCAGCAATAGACACATTAAAAATAAGTGCTACCTTTTTTTTTAAATGGCATCAAAATCACACGAAGTTGAGAAATAATTATGAGAGGCCTAAAACTCTGAAGCAAGTCAGTTTCGCTTCTTTTCGAGAGTTTACAAAAGGTTTATTAATTGCATATACAATTCATTTTCAAAAACTCGAACCGTTTCTTCTGGTAAGTGGTAATACAAATGTTGATGGTTTCATAATGGGCTCTTGGAACACGCATACAAAAATATTCCGGTATATTTAATGACAAATCCCCAATAAGTATTTCACTTATATCTGATGGTCGAGTCAGTTTCTTAAAATTTTGGTCGTGCAATAGGGACCGTACATTTTAAACAAATGAGGGCGCAGTGACGATGTCATTTTTTTTCTGGATACAATCAGTAGAAATACCGACTTAGCAGCTGTGAACTCTTACTTAAAAAATGTTGATATAGCTACACGGTTATGTCAATAACATGTAGTGGTGCGGCGGCTTAGCCCCAATGTGCTTAAGTATTGTGCAAATTGTGATAAAAGCATAAAACCTCGCATGTTAGTTCTTCATGCCATGACAACATTTTTCAGACACGGAGGCATTTCATATTTGACCTCTGGTGACCTGAAGAGGTCAATGAACTTTGCATACACTATTCATAACTTTTGTTCTTAATATCTATAAATAGGATACGCAAAGTTCATTGAAACCTTGAAGGCCATAAGAGGTCAGATATGACATTCCCTACATATGATTTCTTTTCATAGCATGAGCCACTTAACATTATGACTTGGGGCTTGAAAAAAAAATTGGGGTTGAAAGGGTATATCGTATAAATAACTATAAATAGAGTTACTGCAATTAATATAAAGGTCATTGACCTCTGGAAGGTCATCAAAGGTCAATTGTGATTTTTTTCTTCGCATTTGGTCGTTATTTACATTGTATGAAGACGATACATGATGATACAAGAAAATGATGTTTTTAAGAACAATAGGTATAAATAGAGTATACAAGAAAATGATGTTTTTAAGAACAATAGGTATAAATAGAGTATTCAAAGGTCGTTGACCCCAGGGGTCAGATATGAAATGCCCCCATATCTGAAATTGTTTGTAATGGTAACATGCCAAGTTTCATGCTTTTATCACAAAATGCACAATTCTGTCCCTATGCCGCACCACTAATGGGATTTCCGTTTGTTTGAATACCCGACACTTTTTCTTTTATTTCAGCACCCCATTTTTTTAACATGTGCCATATTGTACAAGATTGTGCTTTGTTCATTTAATCTTTGTAACAAGACCGTTGTCTTTTTGAGTCTTCGTTGTTTTATCTCTTTTACATGAATTTCACTTCGCGAAGATCCTATCCTTATGCATATTTTAATAAGAACTATATTTGTTTTATTTTTGTGGTTTATAAGTAAGAAAATAAACAAGCTCATATTAAACACAGACACTTTTGTGCACCATATGTGAGACTGCGATCTTGACCTGTAATTTGAGGACTACGCGGAAGTGTGTAGAAATATTAATTTGCGTGCAATCATCTAGGCCAGCTAAGAATAACAATCAAGTGGGACGAACAGGAACTTGGCTTCGAGTTTATCAAAATGACAATATCAACGGAGCATAAGTCTCTGATAAAAGCCTTTTGCAGTCCCCGTTAATTAAAAATGACAGATAATTACTTTGCCGTTAGATTGTTTTATGTTTTTTTTAATTGAAATGTAAATGTAAATCAATGCACTTTGTGGATATATCAATTTTATCATATGGCGCGGATGCAGGGGGTGTCAAAACCCCAGCCCCTGCTCTGACATCAACACAAATTATAACAACTATAGTTAATAATTAGGTATTTGCCACCTGTCCGCAACAATCGGACATTCACAAAAATCTGACTGGCCTAACCCAACCTTCCTGCAAAAATTCATGGATCCCCCCTGCAGACCTCTTTCAATTTGACGAATTTGAACCGTATGCCTTGAAAAGATGACAACAGGACAAGTAAGGCAAGCCTCGTGAAGCTGGTCCCAGAGCGACAGATTCAGAAGGACTATTCACTGTCTGTCCATGCATCTGTTGGATCCCCCCCTGCAGACCTCTTTCAATTTGACGAATTTGAACCGTATGCCTTGAAAAGATGACAACAGGACAAGTAAGGCAAGCCTCGTGAAGCTGGTCCCAGAGCGACAAATTCAGAAGGACTATTTACTGTCTGTCCATGCATCTGTTGTACACAAGTGGGCTTGATAGGGATCAGTGGTCTGAACAAAGACTCAAGATGGCAGATCAAAGTGGTCACCCATTTTAAAGTCTGTTACCGGCCAGTGCAGTGCGTCGAATGTCAGGTTGACCAATACCGATGTTCCCCACTACCGATGTTCCCCACTACCGATGTTCCCCACTACCAATGTTCCCCACTACCAATGTTACCCGAAATCCTTAGGATTAGGGTTAGGGTTAGCGTTAGGGCTAGGGTTAGGGTTATAGGGTAGGGATTTCGGGGAACATCGGTATTGCGGAACATAGGTATGCACCCCCGTAAAGTCTGTCACGAGCCAATGTGACCCATCAGGCCGGCGTTTATCTCCGGTTTCAGTGGCATGAAACAACTGAGAATATTTCTATTTCCCCTGGATGGGATGCTAGTCCATCGCAGGTTACTCCCCAGCTAATGCTGGTACCCATTCATACTCCTGGGTGGAGAGAGGCAAGTGGGGTCAAAGCGGCTTGCCAACGGACACAACATATGGAAATTAGCTATATTCGAACCCCTGACCCTCTAATCATGAGTCACAAACCCTAACTACTGGGTCACTCTCCCCTATGCCGAAGGGGGAAATACTGTTTTAAATAACAAACCGAACGTGCAACGCCTACGTCTCCGTTAATAATCGACGATTGCGAAAATTCGTCACGGCGCATAGCAACCAAAAATATATCAGCTCTCAAAAGTAGCCACAAAGCGCACGTAGTCCATTGTGTCTCGTAGGAAGCACTTGTGTCTCTCATGTTTACGGAGGTTGTAATGGTGATTTAGTTATTACGGCTAGGTATTACGGTTAAGGGCATAATTGTTCCTTACCACGCGGCCTTTACAATAAACTGTATCATCACTATTTATTTCACATCAAGTACGTGGATATATTTACGTATCAATTCTTGAATATTACATTGGTTATTTTCGTACTTTTGCATTTCAGTTCAAAATGGATTCCTTTGCCATGGCCTTGATTCTGTTCCTCATTGGTGTTCTTATCGGAGCTTGTCAATCATCTACCTGTCATGCGCAGTGTGACTACGACCACGTGACTGCCAGGGCTGACTGCTCCTCCCTAAATCTGAGCTGTATCCCCGTCAACTACCCAGACTCCCTCATCATGGATCTCAGCCACAACGACATATCGATGCTGGAACCAGACGACTTCAGCGGGACGTTCACAAGATTGGTTGAGCTGTACCTTGACTACAACGACATATCTGATGTGACGTCACTGTTGGAGTCAACCGGGTTGGGAAGCCTGCAGAAACTCTCGTTGGAACACAACGTCATTTCAGCATTGCAGACTTCATGTAGCCTCAGCTCCCTCATCAATATCTCAGTCGACTATAACTCATTAGAAAATCAGATTTACATACCGAGCTGCGGAGCATTGGAATATTTTTCGGCAAATTTTAACTCACTCGATGGTATTTACATTGAGCCAAATTTACCCCCTATTATTAGCTTGCGATACAATCAAATATCTTCCTTTACCTTACGAAAACCCAAAAGTTTCCACATTTCGAACTACACACTCCTATTAGATTACAATAATATCAATTATTTTAAGAGTGAAGGCGGCAGGGTTGATGTTTTGTCCCTCAGTCACAATACGCTAAACACATTGTCACTGTCGGTTCCATTTGAACTTAATATCGCAAGCAATGGATTAAACAACTTCAAAAATTCATTCAATTTACTACGTAGCGGGAATACGTTTATGAAGAAACTTTATATCAAGAACAACTCGTTCGATTCCCTGGTACAACCAGATTGGGCAGAAGGTCTTCAGATCTTATACGCTGATGATAACATGCTGGCCAACCTGTCCCCTACAACCCTGCAAGGATTCATCAACCTGACGGAGCTCCATCTAGCAAATAATCGACTCGTGTTCATCTCATCAACAGCTCTGAGTCAACTCACTATGCTACGGTCTCTGTATCTGGATAGCAACACCCTGACGTCATTGTTAGGTGGAACATTCCTCCACCAGGCTGAACTGGTGGAGCTTTCCATGACAAACAACCAACTCTCCGTGTTACATCAGGACTACTTTCTCGGTCTAGGCTCACTTGAACGTCTGCATCTCGCCGGGAATCGACTGGTTTATGTTCACACAGAGATGCTTCGGCAGATGCCTGGCCTTACCAATATGGACTTCTCGAACAACACAATTGATGTCTTTGATATCACAAATTGTAGCCTCCTCAGCAACTTACAGAACATCCTGCTAGCTCATAATTCCATTCATGACATCAGTTACATACTTGGTCATTGTGATAACTTGGTAGTCCTGGACTTGATTTTCAATCAGATCCAAGTGGTTCCCGGTGACTCTCTGACTGGGAGAAATAGAGCACTATCCAGACTTGAGCTTGAAGGCAACCCGCTCCAGTGTGACTGCCGGTTGACGGGACTACGTTACTGGCTTCGCAACAATCTCCCGTCTGTTCTCCCACGATGTCAAGGTCCACCGCAGAACTATGGAGCAGTGGTTACAGACTTGGACATACAATCCTGCGAACCTCCGAAAGCCGTGACCAACATGAGCCATCGTTACGTGATAGTCGGTCAGACAGCAACTCTCTCATGCACAGCGACTGGTATACCCATTCCAAACATAACATGGCTGAACCCCAACGGTACGGTGATACCAGAAACATGGCAGGACAGATTTTTCATATTAAGAGACGTGAGTTTACTTATCATTTCAGTTGAGCTATCTGATCGAGGAATGTACACGTGTTTGGTCCAAAATATACTGGGTGAAATTGACAAAGCTGTGGTCAATCTGACTGTTACGGAAGAACTGAAAGCAACACCCACTGTGACCGAAGAACTGAAATCAACGCACACTGGCGTCTCTTTGGCTGCGACTGTCCTCCCCACCATGTTTATCACCCTTATTGCCACACTCGCTGTCGTCGCCTTGGTGATCTGTCTCCGTCGTCGTTATAAGAAGAAAGATCATGCCACCTCGGCAGCGGAAGGGGTCAGGGATGGTTCAAGGCTAACCGTCGGATTCCGTAAAACTGTATCTACCAGATCAGACGAAGGCTACGTCAACGATACCGTCGAGGGCGAGTATATCCAACCAACCTGTAAGGAGGACACTGGGGAGGAATACGAGGTACCATCTACGGCAGCTGGACATCCTTCTGGAAGATATCAGAGGCACCGTATGGTCATCCCATGCGCAGAGATGGACGATGCCGACGTCTACGAACCAGTCAACATCGGTGGCGAAACATAAGAAGTTGACAAACCTACAGTTTTCGAGCTTTGAAGGAAAAACCAAAACAATAATCTGAGGAAACCTGGGCAGAAAACGAACCCAGGCCATATAGAGGTGGAGGGCAAGGAAGGAACCCATCCAGAGGGACGAATATCACCTTGAATATTCGTATAGAAATTGTCTTCGAATGTCCTGCTGTCTAGACGAATATTTCACTTCGTTAGTCACTCTTATAACATTGCAGAACTGCAAAACGTACACTGTAAAACCGCAGAACGCTTGACGCGATAGCAACCAAAACATAAACGTTTAAAGTAAGACAAAAAGTGAAGTGGTTCTAAAAAGCGCCGTTCACAAAAAATGTACATTATTAACGAAATGTTTACACTTTGCTTCCATGAAAGTTAAGTTTCAGTTACAAGCAGCTGCTACTGCTTGAAACTTATTTTTGGCTGCATGGAAATCTGAAAATGAATTGAATATGAATATGAATCTGACACACCATTAATTGATGCTATTTACTACAATAAATGCCGTCTCTTCCCTCAAACGTGTTAAAAAAATTTTTTTTTTAAATGTTGTGTTTACATTACTTGTGCGTTAAAACGTTAAACGCTAGGTTTCTTACTAAGACTGAATTCCGGGAAGGCTACATTGTTACATTCTAGTTTGATATATTATGTCGACTTTGTTAATACGAAGCCATCATTTAGAGAATAGAATAGCTTAATTTTTAGTTAAAAAGCCTGTTTAACGAGAGTGGATTTTTTGCAAGTAAATTGTTTGAGCCTGAGTTGTCCATTTTGACCGATGTTAGCGTGATCATCCCATGTTTATATGGAATAGGCACGGGAGGTCAGACAAAATGTATACCCGAATGTAAATTATGACAATGTTTGATTTATCCAGCGTCGGTCAAGCGCACAATAACAAGACAAGGAAAACCTATTAAAGCTGGGCCCAGAGCACACAAAAACATTTATTCATTGTGGTTCAGAATGGCTAATCACTGGAAGTCTATTTTCATGCACGTGGCCTACACAATGGCCGGACTGAGCCCATTGATTGGCGTTATTTAATAGAGGTACGTGATCCTACTTGATTTTAAAAAAAAATTACATGTACCAGTTTTTGTGCTCTTTTTGTTTAATAAGTATTTGCATTCGTTTTTAAATAATCTTTCAGTATTCTTTAGGGGCCTATGTGTTCTTGTTTTACTTGAATCTTTTCATACGTCTTAATTTGTTGAAGGAATATATGCTTGTTTATCCCTCTGTTTGTTTATACATGTACATGAACTTTTTATTTCGTTTTTTTTAAATCCTTTTAAACGCTCTGTTTTAGTTACGTTATTTTACTGAGAGAGTTTTGATTTGTGTTTGAAGCTGGTTTTTTGTTTTGTCTTTTCTTAGATTTTGCTTTTCTTTGTGTTGAGTGCATAATCATTTCATTGTTTTTTCCTTCTTTTTCTGTATAAGCCTTCGATTTTGTAAAATTCATATTATTAGTTTATGTTAAAGCAGCTTTTTGCTGCTTGGGTTTACACTGGATAAATATAGGTATAGGTATAAATAAATAAATCATATTTCAAACTTTTGGGCCAAGGTCAGACTTAAGCAAGTCTAATTCACAGTCAGCGAGTGGACTATAGGCTGCCCTCTCTTGGTTCAGCAATAAACACGTATAATACAATGGAATGATTTGTCTTACTCACTGAGTATACATGTTGGAAGGGACAAAGAAAATGTATGTTTTAAAATGAGATGAAACGAATGGTTAAGGTGATTGATCTATGTTGTCATTGGTACACACATTGAACAAATTCGGTATGCAAAAAACCTATTCAATGTACCTCTTCTTAGGGGATATCTTATTCAACACTTCGGAATTATTCGGAATAATTAATATAATGTTTGTAAACAACCTTGCACTCTGATTTCCATATACTCATATAAAACATGTATAAGCAAAATGTAAGTATGTACTTAATCATATAGGAAGGCTTACTACAAAATGGTTGAATATGGCCTGACATGATTATTCAAGTTGCATGCATTGATAAGGGAGTGTTGAAAATAATGAACATAATGTTTTTCTTATAACTAACACTGATATTAAAACGTAGTGTACAGGAATGCAGTATGCTTCAAGTTCAAAAGGGCATGACAACATACATGTAAATTAGTATGTTTTTCTTCCTAGACTGAGTCCTGCACAAAATAAGGAGCTATGATGATAATTTTGCCTCTTGTGAATGGAATTTTAAAGAAATATTATATAGATGCATGTCTTAATTTTGTTGAATAATTTGGTAGTTTTTAAAATTTTATTGCTTGTAACATTTTTGAATGCTGAAAAAATTGAAAATATTTAAAACGGAGGTTGGACTTGGTAGTGACAGTGGAGAATATGCAAATTAGACCTGATTCTGGTTTTTCAAACTATATCAGCCGGATTTTATTCCATTTGCTTCCTCTAAAATTAAATCGGTTGACATGATCATGAGAATATCTAAAGTCTATAAATATGTATCATTCATCAAATCATTGAGACTGACATAATTGTACGTCAATGTGCTAGGGGCTTTACAGTGTATACACAGTAAATATAAAAAATAATGGCTTTTTCAGGCCACCGTTATGATTGTTATATACATAGCGAATAAACATGCATTTTGTACACGGAAAATGCAGTCTTTAAAAGCCTCCTAAATAACCAGTCGATGTAGCACGGTTAATTCTTTTACTCATGCAGGCATTCCGATTTCTGGGGCACATTCTGATTCCTAACATCGAAAGAAATAGAAAAAAAAGATCGATTTTCATTGGCCAAAAAAATGAAGCGTTAGAGAAAAGGAACTTCCTCGAGCGAACGTCGAACCGCGCCGGCCGGCCGCGTGTGCCGCACGTTCAGCCAATTTACGCACATATCCCTGCGCGCCAAATATAGTTCCAACCATGGGCGGCGATCGATCGGGGGGGGGGGGGGGGGGGCGTCAATAGATGTAGAGCGGGGACGATAATTGTGTTGACCCCAATAATTAATCCCAGTGCGTTTAGAATTGAGACCAATTTACCTAAATTCCACTGTATTTTTTCTCAAATAATTTGGTTAGGCATAATAGCTGTAAGATCTTGCTTGTGCACACCATTTTTTACTGAAATGGCGCATAAAAAGTGTACTTGGGCGTACATATATACATCTTGGAACAGCGCCTGTTAATGGTGTCAACCCCCCCCCCCACCTCCAACCTCGACTCCGTTTTTAAAACTTCCAAGCTGCTTCCCCCCTCCCCCCGGCCACCCCCGCACCCCGCACCCCCATGACCCATGTTGACAACAAATTGCCGCCGCTAGCTCCCACTGAAATTGCTTACAATACAATATCGCTTTTCATTGATTTACTTCCTCATTTATATGAACATTAATCTGACTTACAGGTCAACATCCATGAAGAACTACTTTACGTGCCTTTGTACGTGCCCTGGTTCAAACCAGAAAACTCCGCACGCAAATGCGTTATTAATCGTGGACATGCATGCCTAGCGCCCTTAGGTGGCCATATCGAGTTAATTTGTCACCGCATACCATGGAGCTATATTAAATTACCGCATACCTTCTTGGAGTTGTTGGAGATGTCTAAAAGCTAATTTCGAAAGTATAATCAGTTATGACTCATCTCAAGCAAGGAACTGTTTTAGTTTCAGCGTTGCTGAAACAGAATTATCATATAAACCGAAACGAAACGTTGCACGCCAACGTGTACACATGTAATTTATTTTCTGTTTACGAATCCATGGGTGCGTTGGGTCACTGACCATTAATAGCTCGCCCGGGTCGACCTTGGGTAAATGCAGACGGGTTATATGCCATGAGAGCAGGGCTAGTCGAGCGCTCAAAGGCGGGCCATCGTGATCCTCACGTGACGTGCATAACCGACGCCGAAGCCGTTGACAAAACGCCATTTTCGGACTCAGTCTTACTTAAATATATACTGCTTCCCCTTATTCGCAAGAAGTAACAACAGGCTGACCACTGGTGGTACAGGCTGACCCGAGTGAGCCCCGAGAATGACGTCACAGCTGAGCGAACGGCACGTAGCTAACCCGAGTCGACCTGGTTGAGCTACAACATAATGTTTCGAATTGTCTGCATCCTTATATAGTTTCCCTTTCCTTGATGTAACAAAACACAATGTGGCCACAATTCTTTTTACCAGGTCTTTTCACATAAACGTCAGAAGAACAGGAAGTGCAAACTAGTGAAACTACTGTCGCTTTCAGCTTATTTCTTTCCAATTTGACTTCCGCCTACATTCAGATCAGACGTACAGCGTACAAGTTCTCAATTAGTCGTTTGTTCTAGTACTCTGATATTTTGAAATCGTGTTGCTTCTTGGAGAAAGCTAAGATACTATGTTAGTAAAATGTTAACCTAAGTTCATTCGTAGTTTGTCTTTAAGGACAGGGTGCGGACTCGACAAGCAGTCTTTCTTTTCTGTTGGAAAAACCATTTCGATTTAGAAATGAAATATGAGAAATGGAGGTCATTTAAACTAGTTGATGATTTTTTTCTTCCAGAAAACAGTGACAAGTTTTTGTTAAAATCTCGAATTATAGTATTATAATTAATATGCATATACGGTAAGAAAACAAACTGGTAAATTGTCATTTGCAAAAAAAATAATCACTTTGACGGAACGTAAACAAAGATTTCGGTGGGAGGTTTGAGTCTCAAAACTGCGTATTTTCTTAAATTAACACCCAGCCCGAAAATACAAAGTGTGAGTCCCAGATACCCTGGCTACTTAAAAATTAGAAAATTCCAAAATCGATTTTGATGTGATTTTCCACACATACATAGGCAACTTTGGACACCGATAACTCAAAACAAAGTTTTGGGGGACATTCCTCATTTAGCCTCAGCAGGTCACATATTCAGAACGCCTAATTTCTTGAAGTTGTTTCATGCATGTGGCCTACACGATTATTAATCGCTAGAGGGGCGAAACACTCGCGAAAAACCCTTTTGGGAGAAAAACGGGAAAATTCCCATCCGGCTCTTTATTATGG